AAATTGCGACAGGTTTGTGACAGCAGAGTTAAACCATCTGCGGTTGGCGAAACAAGTATTCGACCACCTTTAGCCAGCCACCACCTGTCATTCTAATATATTTTCTCTTGGCTGTGGCGCAGCTTCGGCCACGTTATCGGCAGATATGCGGTGATGTATCGCGCCAGCCCACGAGCACCTCTCCATCCTGAGGAAAATCGAACGATCGCGTATTAAATTATTCCAGCCATCCTACTCCGCGAATGCTCGTGTGCAACCGTAATGTTTTACCGACCATTCTCGTTTCACAAAGTATTATAGCTTGATCGATTGACACTTTGCTGCAGGAGATCTTTCTCTTCGATAACGGGATTGTACTTTTACCATGATTCTGAAGGGAAAGTGATCAAGCGAGAGTACTTCTGCTTCGGAAATTTTTAATCATTCTACCGAAACTGAGTAGTAGGTACACTTCAGTGAAACATTGAGGGAATTATCGAACCAAGGAAGTAACTCGATTCTAGAATAACTGGGAACATCGAGACATTAAAAAAGAAGGCTAAAAGAATTTGTAAAAAAATCTTGTAGTATCGGGGCCTCCATACCCAAATAGGAAACCGACAAGAGAGAATAGGGAGGGGGTAGTTGGCGTAGTGCGCAAAGCCTCGGCTTGCTAAGCCGAAGGTCCCGGGTTCGATTCCCGTTTGGGTCCCTCAAAATTTTTTCGTCGGTTCCTACAATTTTCAATACTTCAAATCTTCCGCAAACACAGTCTTCACACTCAATAACTTGCGAAGGGAAGTGTAGATTAGGTTAAGTTTATTCCACGAATTTCCTCACACTTCTCAAACCATCTACCGCTGTAAACCCCAATATTACAACAGTCCAGCCTTCAAAATATCCTTCCAATTGCCCCAACGAACCGTCAAAAAGCCACAAGCTCCTTCCAACAACCCCAATGTCTGTCTTGAACAAAACGTCACACAAAGAGAACGCCTGCAGGAAAAATGCCTCGAACCCGGAGAGGGTGGAGAACGGAAAAGGAGGGAGAGGGAGCTGCCGTATCAGCTGGTCGTTATCCAGATCGCAGCTGACAGTGACTTAAGCCCTGCTTCGCAGAGAGTTCTTCCCCCCTTTGGCGCCAGCTGAGCGTAATTCCCGAGGCACGTTTCGCCAGGTGGAAAGGTGCGTGCAGGTACGAGGGCGTGTCAGAGCCCCCTTTTTCGCCTGGCCACGACCGTACGTCCGCGTTGTCTGGTAACGGAGGTCTGTTCACCTCGTAAACCGACACGTCCACGGAAATTCACGCGAGCCAAGACCCACCCCTCGTGCCAACGAGGACAGTCCCGAGCTGGGAGTTACGTTGGTAAGCTGAGGAACGGCGTTGTTTGGTCGCTCGACTGTTTAATAGCCGCCTGGTGAACCGCTTCCAACAGCAACCGACTACTTATGCGCTTGTGTTGCTAGGAAAAATCCCGTTGAAAAGTCTCCTCGAGGAGAGTGAAGAGCAGCGAATGCCTCAGAGGAGAAATTCTGGTAATGGAAGTGGAAGCTATTGGATCGAAGGACGGGTAGTCGGAGAGATATCAAGATTTCCAGGGATATTAATATTCAATTTGAACTCGATTCGTGTAACCTGGCGGGTTGCAGTTGCCTCGGAGTCTTGCGAAGTTTGTAGATCGCTAAGTCTGCTAATTAGGTTTCAATGCTTGTTCACAATTAGTTCATCAATTCCTTTGATTGTGTTGAGCGCAACGATTTATGGCACGGACGTGGGAAAGGGGCTGTTTTCCAGATTAGGATTTTGGTTATTGTTAGCATGAGTGTCGAGTAAAAAATAAGTTCGGTTTACAGCTCCAGAGTTGGAAGTTCATTTCTCTCGTCCTGGATAGCCAAGTGCCTTGCCACAAAAAAGGGCCTTCCAAAGGGTCGACATAGAAATTCGCAACGGTGAAGAGTCCGGCGAAGTCTGTTGCCAGACATCGCCACCCCCGCTCCAATGTAACGCGCGTTGAGAGCGCAGGAGATGCTGATTGGGTTTTAGGAATTTTCCCAAATTGCCCAATCAGCGTGCAGTTAGAGGAAGGAAGGGGCACCGCGGAAGGAGCGCCGAAATAAACAACAGTCCCCAACTTAGGAGTTGGGTAGTCCTTCGAGAACACTTCAGACGGCACCACGAAGGGTGCAATAAACCGGGACGGAACTGTAAGGAGTACAATATACGTCCCCAACAGATTTAGTATTTTCTGGGCGCGTAGGAATAAGTTTCCCATAGAATAGAAATAACAGCTGAATGTGGAAAGTGAAGGGGTGTTAAAGAATGAAATGAAATCTAGAGATTTCATGGATCTCGTGCGCTATTAATAATTAATCATGGACATTGAAAAGCAGTAAAAAAATAATTCTCTGGAGAGTCATTGTCGAAGAATGGAACGAAGAATCTTTATTAATTTACACAGGCACGAGCGTTGAGAGATTAAGCATGATTTACATCCTCCAGAATATTTGATCGAAAAAGCATTTAGGTGTTGCATTACTTAACCTGGTATCGACACCTCTGCAACTAAACGTGCCAGCAATTATTCGCCTGTAAATTATCCTACCAACTGCTGTACCTTCGGTTAGCCTCTCTCCTCGCAGGATCGATTTTCGATATTGCTAAGCAACTAACCGGTAAATACCTGAATACACCTTACCCATCGTCAGACAGAGATAGAATTCAACTACTACAAACGTAGTTCGTTTTTCTTCGACAAACTCCCCAACCGCGGATGTAAAATACGCGTTTCGTGGATCGATCGTCGCGAACGTGAAAGAAACATCACCTCTGACTCACACACACTCGATGACTCATGCATAATTTACTCCCACTTAATTAGCGAATCGCTGTACCGGCAGCTCGCGTGCAGAAAAAGCAACGTTTTCCATAAATACCAGCAGGCCGGTGTGTTATGCAAATCGTGTCTAAAATTGTAAACGAAACGTTGCTATAACGCGTATATCCACCCTCTCGAAATTTCCGAGGCTCGAGTATCGATTATGCGCGCTCTCTCCCGCGAATCGTTCGTTCTGTACTTTTACACGAGCGTAAATCACCGATATGAATAGGAACAAGTAAACCAGTCGGTCCTCTGTATATTTGATACGTTCCGCTGAAATTTACTCCGAGTATAATGTGTCGTATTTACCAGATGTGACAGCGAGAGCGGAAATTTTACCGTCGACGGACGCCAATTCCTCGCCACGCTTGCGTATACCCGAATTCGTTTGATACCGGTCGGGATATCGGCTGTGTAATAAAACGGCGATAACGCGGATGAAAAATTACGCCGGACGATTAAATTGCCGCGTAGAGTTAGAAACGCGAACACGGTTGGATGATAGACCGCCTTCGTTATTTTTCGTCTGTGCGAAAACTGGCCGCGTTCTAAATCTTCCTTGATGTACAATGCAGCGTTTTCTCCAGGATTAATATTCTGTCTGTGCTGGAGAACAAAGTTGTGTATAAATCACGCGAGAGAGAGAGAAAAGAGTTGGGGGTTGCGCGGGAGGGTTAAAGCACGTTGTACGTCTGTAAAATCTGGTTGATGGCTGAATTTACGAGGCGACTTGGAGGTTGGAAACGAGAGAGGCACGGAAGTTTCTGTTCGATTCGTTTCTAGATATTCAATACGCTCGGTTTGCTGCGACGAAAGCGTGTGGTCGGTGTGTCCGCGCGGTGGATCCTTGCGGTTCTTATTAAGTTTCACTCTGGACGACCGTGCGGAACCGCGCGGCGGATAAAACGAGTCGAGGCAGGAGGTGGATTCGCTTTCGAAACGGGCAGCCTCGTTCTCGTTTAACCCGAGAAATGCCGGGGAAGAGTCCGTTTCTCGAAATCTACGAGGCTCGCCCTTCGCGCACAGCCCGAAGAGGTAGTTCGCGTGAGACACTTTGTTGCGCGATTTTTCGAACGGATCGAGGTGTCCCTGAATTTTTCAGGATTTGTTAACCCTTTCGCTACGGTAAACTTTTAACCACGGCTGCGAAATTTCTTATTTTCACCGTGTCGTTTTAAAATTCGGTTTATTATATTAAGATGCAAGTGCGTAACGGATCAAATTAAAGGGTTAACACGTTCCGTGCCGGACCGATTTTCGGTGACTTTCCGTTCACGCCGCGTGGGTCGTATGCGTCCCACATTGTCGAGACTAACAGTTTTGCTTTTCGCCCTATATGTCTTCCAATATTAGAGCAAAGGAAAAATTTTTGTTTTAACAAATTATCGCCGTAGTTGCATAGTTTAAGTTAGCGGAAGGAAAAGGCCGAAATATCAGATGGCCTGAACGGAAAGACCAGAGTGGGGCGTATGCGCCCCACGCGGCACGGAACGTGTTAATGAAAGGGTTAAAATGGCAAAGCAAGGGTTGCGCCTGAAAATAGGCAAACTTTAGGAATTTTTTCTTAAGTAACTACTTAACGAAAAGTTTCAATTTTTTCAGAGGATACAAGCGTCACTTTCAGCTTCCTTCTCGAATTTTTGAAAGTAAAAGTGTTACAAAATGGAAGAGTTACTCGCTAACCGCAAAGCCTCTTGTAACGAAAAGAGTTTTTCTCCTGTTTAAAAAAAAAACCTAGGGATTAAGCATTTGTCCGGTGATAGAAATGCAATTTCGTGGGCAATACAGAACGTCAGCTGTCCAGAAGAGCGATTATACCATAAAGAAAGCATCATGTCCAGGGTATAACAGTTTTTGCGTGACATTTCATACGAGCAGCCTTCATAAGCCATGGTTCGTGACGAAGTACCCAAGTCTATCCTTCCAGTAAACTTGTCCAGTTCAGAGGCAGTTCCCTCGTTCCCTTCTAAATCGATCACGCGACAGGGTACCAAACTCCACTTCCACCGTGTCATTTCGAATGATCGACATTTGCTATCCAATTTCTTCCCTCGTGCAGCACATTTCGTCTCTCTACTGTAAGTAAGTACACGGTGTGTCGCGAGCTAAAAATAAACACGTCGATTCGATTTCTGCTTGCAGCTTCGACGAGACATCGATGGACAGCTGCCCACTGGCGGCCATCACCGAGGCGAGAGGAAACGATCTTGCCAAGGATGGGAACGAAGTGGAGGTGACGTCTCTGGAGGAGGCTAAAACGGTGATAGCTGCTCTACGAGCGAGACAGAGGGCACAGGCTCATCAGATGCTTGCCTGGCGGAGGACCCTGAAGTTGCAGGTAAACTGAAACTCTGAAAGAACCTTCTGGGTTCCCTGGGGACCGAGTGAAATAGGATTCTTCGTCGATTCGTGCATGCACCTAGAGATATACAAATTTGGCAAGGAGTATTATAATTATCGTGCCAAGGAGTGGCTCGTTTCCGATGGTAATCACTTTGGACTATTGTTTGTGGTGGATTTTTCGAAGAACAGCTTGATGCGTTTGGAAGGGATCCAGGAGAGGCTAGAGGGTGGTTTCTCGGTAGAATCGTCGGAATTAGCATTTTTCCGCGAATCCTCTTTGCGAAGGAAGGAAACGAAGATGTATCTGTAATTACCGGTCGACTGCCGGTTGATTAAATCCGGTAAAAGTTTGAAGAGGAATCGGTGGTCGCTTCCGGGACAGGCCAGACAGGTCTCGTGACGCTCGACTATTTCGCCTGGGACCTCGCGTGACTAGGGACAATCTACCACGTCGGTGCATTCGCGAAAAAAAGCTCTCCTTCGAAATTCACCGGTGAATAATCGCGAACGATCTTCCCGAATGAGAAAGAAAGAGAGAGAGAGAGAGAGCACACGTTATACACACCACCGTGGCGAAAATTGCAGTCGGAGGAAGAACGAGCTGGTAGGGGAGAGAGAAAGAATTAGAAATTGGAGAACGTAGAAACTGTAAAAGGTTTTTCGTCCAAGACTCTTTTCGCGAATGTAGCGTACGAGATGAGAATGGTAAAGGGAAAGAATATCCCGGAAGCATGGTAGACTGGTTCACGAGAGCAAAGTCAAAGAATGGTCAGTGAGTTGAGTAGCATCCTCTGTAGATGCGAAGAATACAGCCGAATGCCAGTCGACGCCGTATAGATTATGCTACGCTAGCTTGCGTTGGCAACTTGCTACTACGCGTCGTCCTTCCATTCACCGCAACCAACGTATGGGTTTTTCCTTTTTTTTCTCTTCCCGAAATAACACATTTTCAGTGGAAAACTCTGCTCTGTTACACTCGTTCGTGCGTTCATACGGAAGAAGAAGATTTGCGTCTACCTCGTGTCATGTTTTCCATTGTCCCGAACATTTCCGTAGAAATGGATATTAGCGTTGATAGACTTCTTTACGGTCAACTTGCACGTGATATCGCGTGATTAAACACACACACACACACGGTGAAGAATAAACGAGGAGTTGCTACAATGAAACTCTATAACTGGAAACGAACAGGTTAAAAACTCGTTTGAAAGGGAAAACGTAGCCACGAACTCGTTGATTAGCGGACGTGTTCGTTTCTCCCGCATCCGCCAATTAATTCGTCGATTTAAACCGCTGACATTCTACCACGGAGCGAAAGAAACGAAGTGTAGAGAGGAACTGGGCCAGTCGAGGTTTCGAGACGAATAAATTCAGGCCAAACCACGGCGAATCTTCGCCAATTACACCCGGTGTCTCGGGAGAAACCGAGAAGACCTCTTCAAGAAGTCGACGTCTCGACTGTGCGGCATCCAAATTCGTCGCAGACAAATCGAGTTCAGTTTCAGTCGGTTTGTTTGTTGGTCTAAGGGAAAGCCTGTGTCTCTATGAATCGCCAGAATTCAAAGTACCTCTGTTAGTCTCGGGATACAGAAGCTCCCTGTTTAATATTAATGCGACGAGAGAGATGTGGCCCTAGGAAACGTCGCGGTGAAAATTCTGGCCTGCCTTTCTCGTCTCTCTTGCTTAAATTCTGGACACTGGCAGGATTTTCAATTGAATATCTCCGCTCTTAGACGTCGTTTGGACCAACGTTTTCTTGTACTCCGTGTAGTAGTCGTTTGTTAACCCTCGTACGACGAAGCAGGGTCATTTTGGCTCGACAGCGATAAAGTCAGGCGGCTTAGATTACGTTTCGTACAGGAAATACACCTATTTTACGTAGGAAATGTAAATAAACAAGAAAAATATCAAATATATATAGAAGGAACCACGGAAAAAGTTCGAGGAACCCAACGGGAATCGAACTCGGGACCTTCGCCTTAGCAAGCCGAGGCTTTGCTCACTACGCCAACTACTCCATCTCTATTCTCCCTTGTCGGTTTCCTATTTGAGGATGAACGCCCCGATACTACATATGTATATAGTTGAAAGTATACAGATTTATACACAATTCCTTCTTGAAACCCGTGTACGGTAGAAATTTTGCTACGGGTCTAAAATCATTCGCCTTCCGAGGGTTAAGTGAATCGTACGATATCACGGAACGGAGACGCGTTGACAAAGTATTATCAGCGGATTAAACAGTGGTCTTAGAGAACTGTGCGCGTAATGATAGGACTAAGAAATCTGAGGTTTTTGAGGAAGAACCTGATATGAATATGTTCGTGTCTTGAGGAGTTAGGGTTCGTAAGCGTTTGGGTATACCGAGGGCAGGGTTCGAGGGTGAGACAGAGTAAGTCAGGAAAGTTAAACAGTAGTCTTAGAGAACTGCGTGCGTAATCGTAGAAGGACTAAGAAATCCGAGGTTTTTGAGGAATCACCTAATATCTATACTTATGTTCGTGTCTTGAGGAGTGGAAGTTGGGGTTCGCAAGGGTTTAGATTCGAGGGTGAGACAGAGTTAGTCGGGAAAGGGTGAGGCCACGAGGTGAAAAATGAAAGGACGAAATATTTCGAAAGTGATCAAAGAAGGCTAATACTTAGATCTGAAGCGCGATTTAGACTAACAGATAGCGCGGGTATACAACAGTTTAAAGTAGAAGACACCGGCGAGATTCTTCCAAGATTCTTACGAGGCTCTTTGTAGACGCAATTAAAAGTTCTCCTACACCGTCTCTTCGGTTTAAACCGGCAACTTAGACTCTCGCATAGTTGACACATTTCACAAATGAAATTCTAACGTCGGAGATTAACTAGGGCGCGTGGTGGGAGATTTAATAAAAGATGTTTCGCAGGGTCGATAATTCCTACAAAGTTACTAACAACCGGCACGCGACGACAATCACGTATGCCGATGGAATTTTAGTAAACGCTCGAGGAAGCGTTTAATTACGACATAATGATCCGTTATTAGACGCAACGACCTTTTCGCGTGCTCAACGAAGGAAGTTTCTCGATCAACCTTCTACCTATACGATATAAAACCGTGCTCTTTAAATCACCTTTTTGTTTACCCTTATTTACGCTCCTTCACGCTTTCCCAAACTTCTCTGTCGATCGAACCGCGACAAGAAGACGAAGAGAGGCTCGAACTCCGCCGCGCCGTTAGACCCAAGTGGAAAGCGTTCCTTTGTTCTCCGCAAGTTCACGCGATTGTCACCGCGACCGGTAAAGAAAACGAGAAACTCGGGAGTTGGTTGTCTGATTGAAGCTGTGAAAGGACCGTTCCTAGCTTTTTCAGAGAGGAACGTCACCGCGTATAGCGGCACAATGGTGGGGTCGCGTGGCCATTCCATGGGGCGCCATTTGCGCGAGACAATGCTTGGGATAATGGACCCGCTTTCTTTCGCAAAATCCGAGCGCGGCAGATGGAAGATCTAATCTCGAGCGATTAGAGACGTTTCAGGAGCTTGATGGTTTATTAAAAACGCACTTTGTTAACTCTTCGCGGTCGAACTTAGTAACGAGTTTGCTGGGGGTTATTTAGGCAGTTGAACTTAATACTGCTTGTCAACTTAATACTTGAGTTTTTGTGAGAAGTTGGAAAGATTAGTTTGCTAGATGACGTGTATTAAGAATTTTGACAAAATTGCAATTTGTGGGAACTGTCAAATCTACCATAGAATCTGAATAATTTTTCAAGTTATTTTATTATCTTAGAATGAACTTACTTTATCTTACGAACTACTTAAAGTTCAAACTTTCAACTGTTTGTGAGAATGAGAGTGTCGACGGGTACGCGTAGTTCTTAGCTTGCTATCTTTTCCCAAAACAGAGAATTTTCTTTGGAAAAAGATACCAATTACCAGGTCCCACCACGAGGAGGTGACTACGCAAGGGACCCGACAAAAACACATGCCCTACTGGCAGCTCTCTATCTTCAGAGATGCGCGATTCTCATTCGTAGCAAAGGAGATAAGACACTTTATCAACAATTCGTGTTCTTAACATCAATTTTTAAGGAGTGTCTTATATTTTATTTGAAATTGCAACGCTAATCATTTTGTTATAGTTAATTTAAAGATTGGAAAAATTCAATGCTCTCCTTTGATAGGGTTTCAAAAAATTATAAATCGCGGTCAGATTGAATTCAGAGCGCAACGAGAAATTCGCTATCATTCTAAAGAACCAGCGAGCATACACGACGAATTTACTCGCGAGTATCGCGCGCTACTCGCGAGTGATTAAGTCGCGAATAAACTCGCAGGAACTGAGTGATCGAGAATTTAATGTTCTATGTTTCGAATCGACGATAGCAAAATGTAGAAAGCATTTTTAGTAATTAGCTACGAATGAGAAACGCGTATCACTGTAAGAGAGCGCGCACATTGTACTCGATACAATTTTTCTATCTTATAGTTACTTATTTTATTTTATGGACTACTTAAAAGTAAAACGCACGCATCCCACGACGTCCATCGGCGGATGAATAGAATTATTTTTGATTTTCTTAGGCTAATTTATTTTACCTTATCAACTACAATCCTTAAAATTAAAACTCACACACACGGTTCTTAACTTAGATTTAGACGTACTGATTTACTTGGATATTCCATAATTTATTATTGAATTTGTATTCAATAAAGGACGTCGACGATTGGTATAGTTCCTGATTTTCTAATTGAACTAAAATTCGAAATAGTTGGTGGAAACTGTAGAAGCTTTATTATAAATTGGAATAGATCGATGGGCTATTGTGGAATAATAATTAGCAGTGACAATTGTTTGACACAGTTACCTATGGGTTACCACAGAATGTTCATTTCCGTTTTGTAATTTCGATAAATTCTGATATATCGTCGATACTTTGAGAAAAGTATTGTTATAGCTAAAGGAATACTTGTAACTTGTGAAAATTAGTAAAAATGAAGAAATTAGAAATTTTGTAACTTCTGA